ACCAAAACTGATGCAAAACGATGAATCAACATTTAGACTGCTGTAGGCTGACGTCGGTTGGCTCGGCTGGTGCCCCTGCATATCGCCAAACGAATTTCCACCAGCGCTATCAAGCGAGGCGTCGCCTTTCGACGCCTCCGCCTCCTGTTCAGAACCGTTTGAAGCATCCTGGAAACTGTCGTCGGCCGCTACAGCCTGCCGAATCGCAACCAGGCTGCATGATTCATCACGGCCCTGAGCACTCTCTGACGACCCTTGCTGGCTAGTCTGCTTCTCCTGCGTAACTCCAGAAGCGTTTCTACCCTCATTGCCAGGCAATTCCTCAACACACGACTCTTCCGCCTCCTCTTCAGAATGGTTTGATGGATCCTGGAAGCTGTCGTCAGTCGCAGCAGCCTCCCCAACCAAACCCAAACCGCACAATTCACCACCCTGGACACTGTCTGCCGATGCCTCAGGCCCCGCCGGGCGCGCCTCCCGGTCCTCACACGAGCTGATACCCTGGCTTCCACGCGACCCCTCGCGCTTCGGCTCCTCAGTAGCCCCTACAGCTACGTCCGCCGCATCCTGAAAGACTCGGCTAGTATCCTCCACAGGCGTCAAGGCTGACCAAAAGCTGCTCCACAGCGATGTACCAGCCTCCTGGGCACGTTCCGTAGAAGAGCACTGCTTCGCGTGGCTCTCCTGGGTATCCGCACACGAGGTTCTACCCTCGCTGCCACGGGACACCTCGCGTTTCGGCTCTGTGGCCTCCCGTCCAGGCTCTTCAGACGCATCCTGGTGGCTTTGTTTGGCCGCCGCAGCATCTAGCCCCGAACCTAGCCTGGTGCTCGATGATGCACCAGCCTCCGGCACAATGGCCGGAGAGGCGCCGTGTATCGTCTGCCGCTCCTGCGGATCCTCGGACGAACTCCTAGCCTCGCTTCCAGAACACACCTCGCTCATCGGCTTCTTTTCCTGGTCGGTAGTTGCATTCGCGGTACATGAGAAACGTGTTGGCAAGTATGATGCCTCTGTCGGCGAGCAGGAGCTCAGCGACATATCTGTCGCCGAGGACGAGCTTGGCGGCAGAGGTACGACATGGGGTTCCTGTTTCTCTTGTTCCTCTACAGGAGGGCTGCATGCAGTAAGTTCAGGTCCATCTCGCTGTTGTTCACTAGGACCAAGCCCTGTATGAAGCGCGTCTGCACTGCTGACCAAAGAATGTTCTAGCGTGTGCTCAACTGAAAGCCCACTTCTTTGTCTCTCCTTGCCACACTCTGGATCCGAGTCAGCAGCTGCTGCCTGTAGTTCTTCTTCTGGATGGGACGTGCCTTCGGCAGTTTGGTCGGCGATTTCTGCCACTGCTTGCTGCGAGGCCTCTGCAAGCGCTTGTCCAACCCCATGTGCATCTCCTGTGCTGCAGTCTGCAGATGCAGGTTCCCCCCCACCGTCCCCTAAATTTTGGGAGCTCTCCATACAGACCTCAGGACAGGAAGGGCATACGGCCTGTGCAACTGGCAACTCGCCGTCAGCACTGGGATCCGATGACGCCCCAGGAAAACCATGTTCGGGGAGATGTAAGGTGTCAGCGTCGTGCGTACTCCCTTGTCGCATTAGAACCTCCTCCTGTTTAGGCTCTGCAACTGCATGTCCAGCCTCGATATCTCTCTCGCCGCTTGCAGGTGTCTGACCGTCACTCGTGAAAGATTTCGATTCTTCTTCTGTGTTGCTTCGGCAGTCGCTATTTTCCCTGCTAGCCTCCCGGGAATCATGACACCGTGCAGACGATGCACCGGACAATCGACCACCAAGGTCCCCTAAACGGGCATCTCCACACTCATGAAGGGTGATGGGGGTTTCGTTATCAGTGCCTATTCTGCAGCGGCTGTCCACGCTACTACTTCTCTGGCTGCAAATGCAGCTGCTGTTGTTGGAGGAACTGGAGCTGCAACTGCTGCTGCAACTGCTGCTGCTCCAACTGCTGCTGCAACTGCAGCTGTAGCTTCCGTCGCTATGAATGCTGCTGGGTCCCGAGATACCATCCCCATTGGAGACACAAGAATTGTTTCCGATGCTGTCCGTCCTTCTAGGTGTGCCAACGTCCTGATCTTCTCCCACTGTATTTGGGCTCGCTGAAT